GGCCCAGCGGCCCTCCCCGCGGGGCTCCCGAGTGCCGGTGCCGCGGTGCTGGCTGGCAGCCCCAGCACTGGCCGGTGCTTGGCCCGAAGCCCCGACGGTGCTGAGCTCAGCACGGGGGTGTGCCGTCTCCTGACCGTTGAGGTCAGCGGTTACCTGGCTTAGTGCAGCCAGGATGCCCCTGGACGCATCTCCGCATGTTCAGTGCCAAGGCCGTGGGCGTGACGCTTCTGCTGGCTGTTTCCAGAGAGATTCTGGAGCAGCCAGGGAGGCCCCGGGCGCGGTGTGAGGCCAGAGGGCACAAGGGCTGAGCCGGGAGCTGGCCCAGAGCCGACGTGGCTCAGTGCCCCACGGCCTGGCCCACAGCGGAGGAGCCCGGGCCTGGTGTCCGTGGGCCATGCTGCCCGCGAGCGTCCTCGGGCCCAGACACGAGCGGGGTGAGGCCTGGGGCAGCATCCTTGTGGCTTTCCCCGAGCGGCAGCCAAGTGGGAACACTGCGGGGGAGGGTGGGGCGAGGGGGCCGAGAACCTTCTCCCTGACGAGGCCGCCCCTCAGGGAAGCTGGACATGCTGGTGGCCTCGGCGGGGACGGGCGGCACCATCACCGGCATCGCCAGGAAGCTGAAGGAGAAGTGTCCCGGGTGCCAGGCGAGTGCCCGCCACGAGCACCAGCACCTCCTGCGGGGGCGGGGGGCGGGGGCGCACCCCGGGAGCCAGGACGCACCCTGCGTCTTCCGGTGGCTTGAGGGCGCGGGAGGCACGAGAGCCCCGACTTGCGCGGGCCCCGTGGGGCCTTGGGGTCACCCCCACCTCGCCGCCGCAGGCTGGTGGGCGCTCCGGGGCGGCTCTGAGGGCTCCCGGGAATTGCCCTGTCCCCAGAGGCTCCCGCTGCGGGGGGGCTCGCCGGCAGCCCTCGTCGGGCCTGGCCTCTGGTGTGGAGGACGCGGCGGGCTGTGGCCACAGGCTCAGGGGACCCCTGCCCCGCCCGCAGATCATCGGGGTGGACCCCGAGGGCTCCATCCTCGCGGAGCCAGAGGAGCTCAACCAGACGGAGCAGAGCGTGTACGAGGTGGAGGGGATCGGCTACGACTTCATCCCCACCGTGCTGGACAGGAAGGTGGGCGCGGCCGGCGGGGCGGGGCCGGGGCCTGCGGGGAGGGCGGGGTCTGGACAGACGGGGCGGGGCC